TAGATGGTTTTTCATCTACTAATAACAGGTCTGGACAAAGGAGGCACTTGCTTCCAGCGTGCTAGTGCTCCCTTGTGCTTTCCCTAAGGAAACTCCAGCTGTTGCTGAATTCTGTGATTTTTCTAGCCCCTGCTAGGCTGATGCTGGAGGGTGATGTGCCTGCAGGCAGGCAGGGAGGGGTATAGAGGAGTGGGGTTTTTCATTAGTTGGAAATGTCCCTTGTGCCTCTCTGGGCTCGAGGATGCACCGAAGCAGCTGGGCAGGAGCCTTCCCAGAGCAGCACGGGCTTGGGAAGGGTTTTAGCAGACTCCCAAGACACCACTGCCTTGTTGGGGTGTCTTTTCTTCTTGAGAAAGTGGGTATTGGAGATGTCCCCTTTGATGTAGCGTTGCTCTGTGTGGTGGCCCTGCAGGCCTGTGTCACCCTGAGCATCCCAGCTCTCCCCAGGTCTGCCGGCGGGGCTGTAGCCCAGCACAGCCGTTGGGTGCTGGTGCAGGTGCAGTGAGCCTGAAGTGCAAGAGGAGAGGATGCTGGTTGCTTGAGGGGAACCCCCTTGGAGTGAGCAGTCCTTTCAGGCAGAGAAAGCATCTCTCATGCTCTCCCTGGCAGCCTCTGGCAGTGGGACTGTGAGCACCCAGGGGGGAGGAAGCAGCACTGGTGGCACTGGGGCTGGCGTTGGGAGCCCTGGGCTCAGCCCGGCTGCCGCTGTGCCCGTCCCTTCCCTGAGAGCAGCGGGTGCTGTGGGACAGGGAAAGGCCCTTCCCTGGGGGTGGCCACCTCTCACCGCCAGCCTTTCCCTGCAGAAAGCTGCGTTGGCACAGTTTCCAGAACTCGCACAGGCCCAGCCTGAACTCTGCCTCCCTGGAGATCAACCGCCAGTCCTCTGCCCAGCTCAACCTGCTCCAAAAGTGCTCCCTGCTCCGTCTCACGGCCATCATGGAGAAGTACTCCGTGCCCCACAAGCAAGCCTGGACGTGGTGAGCTGGTGGGGAGGGGGACCGGGACGGTGCCCACATGGTGGGTGAGGGCTGCAGCTCTGCGCTGTGCCCCAGGCTGCTTCCCAGTCCGGATCCTGCAGCCTGGGGCACCTTCAATGTGTGAGGATGGTGGAGAGGGGGTGGAAAAAGCTGAAACGAAAGCTGGCTTTGCTCTGCATGGCTGTGGGCATCCTTGCAAGCGTGAGCTGGGGGCTGATGCCTGGGCTCCCGGCATCATCTGCATTAAAAATGCTGCAGCAACGTAAGAGAGTGGGGCAGTGGTTTCCTTTTGTAGCCAAGTATTAAGGCATTTTGGCTTAATAAAAGGTGCTGCAGTTCCTGCTCCAAACCTGCCTTGCTTGCATTCCAAACACGGCCGAAGCGTGCGTATGTGGGGTCCTGCTCCCCTCTGCGAGGTGGTGCTGAGGGAGCCGTGCCTTGCACTGACGTCTGTCTGTCCCACCCCGCAGGACCGTGCCCAAGTTCATGAAGCGGAGTAAAGTCCCCGACTACAGGGACAAGATGGTCTTTGGGGTGCCGCCCATCATCAACGTGCAGCGGACGGGGCAGCCCCTGCCCCAGAGCATCCAGCAGGCCATGCGCTACATCCGCAGCCAGTGCCTGGACCAGGTGATGCCGCGACCACCGACTGTGCTTCCGAGCCTGCCACTGAGCAGCGATGTGATTTGGGGAAAAAAACCTAGCTTTCAGGGGTCCTTTCTGTTCACCTCTTGTGGCGCTTGGCTGTCATGAAGTGGGAGGGTGAGATTGTCTGTGGGAACCCCACATCTACTGCTGTCTCCTTGGCCGACCCTCGCTGGGGCTTCTCCCCTGGGTTGCAGGGGCATGAGGCCTTTGGGGAAGGGGTTTCCTTGCCTGTCCCATGGGAGTCCACTCAGGCACCTGCCGGGTTGGTGCACACGAGCTCCAACCCTCTCTTTCCCGGCAGGTCGGCATTTTCCGAAAGTCAGGGGTGAAGTCCCGGATTCAGGCACTCCGGCACATGAATGAAACCAGCCCTGACAACGTCAACTACGACGGGCAGTCAGCGTACGATGTGGCTGACCTACTGAAGCAATATTTCCGTGACCTGCCGGAGCCCATCTTCACCAGCAAGCTGACGGACACCTTCCTGCAGATCTACCAGTGTAAGGGCTGGGCTGGGCTGGGGCCGGTTGCCCCTGGGCTGGGGGTGAAAGTCAGGGTCTCCCAGGAAGGAGGCATCTCTCTGTTCATGCGGACAGAGGCAGCAGAAGCAGGTGGTGGCCCATGGGCATGGACCTGCTGACCACCAGCTTTGCCCCATGCTCGCAGTCGTGTCGAAGGAGCAGCGGCTGCAGGCAGTGCAGGCGGCCGTTATCCTCATGCCGGACGAGAACCGGGAGGTGCTGCAGACCCTGCTTTACTTCCTGAGCGACATCGCCTCCGCGGAGGAGAACCAGATGACCGCCGGGAACCTAGCCGTGTGCCTGGCCCCCTCCATCTTTCACCTCAACGTGTCCAAGAAGGAAAGCACCTCGCCGAGGTAAGGGTTGGACTAGCTCTGGCCTCCCCAGCCTTCCTGCAGCCCCCGCCTCCCCATCGTCCCTTCCCCCGGCCAACGTGGGAGGAGGCCAGCGCACTGGGGTATGGCACGGTGGGAACATGCATGCCCTCAGCCCCCCATCGCTCTGCTTTGCAAAGAGGGGGTCCACCTCTCTGCGATGCAAAACAGAGTGATGGGGGGCTAGAAGCGGGTGGGATGCCCACCCGGTCCCAGTGATGCCTGCTTCCCCACAGGGTGATACATAAGAGGGGCACCATGGGGAAGCCTGACCAGAAGGACCTCAATGAGAACATGGCTGCGACGCAGGGGCTCTCCCACATGATCACCGACTGCAAGAAGCTCTTCCAGGTGGGTGGCTGTGGTGTGCCCAGCCCTGCGTTACCCTCCCTGGGTGCTGCCAGTGGGAGCTGTGACCTCACCGGTGGGGTTGCTGGTCCTGCGGAGTCCGTGTGGGGCGAGATGAGGGCACCCATCCTTCAGCGGGGCAGATGCCGCCGGTCGGGCAGTCCTGGGAGCAAAACCCAGCTGCATCTGGTGGTGGTGCAGGTCACCAGCTGCATGACGTGTGTCCGGGGGGGCTGTGTCCATCCTCCCCGCTCCTTGGTGGGATGAGGAGTTACAGTTTTCTAGCTGCCCAGGACCACTCACAAAGTCCACATAGGATCCCTCTAGCTTTCTGAAAATCTATATGCTCTTGGCTTGTAGGTCTCCCATGACATCTTGCTGCAGCTGAGCAGCTCCTATATGGCAGCAGATGCTTACCCCCATCCCCTGACCGACTTCGTGTGTCAAGGGGAAAGCAAGGATTTACACTCCTACTTTGAGCAGAGTGTCCAGAACCTGCTCAAAGAGTCATCAGAAAAATTCAAGGGGTGGCTGAGCACCCCGGGGCCCCTGAACACGGAGGTCTCCTGCAAAAAGGTAAATGCCACTGTGTGGAGGGGAGCTTGGGGTCACGGGGAAATGTGTACAGGGTGACCACCCGGAGCCACAGGTCCTGCGGGTACCTGCTGACCTGCTAGCAACCCCTTGGTGCTTGTTCTCTTACACAAGGAGGGATCAGCAACTCCTTCCCTGACCAGAGGAGGGGCTGAGACATTGCCAGCTCTGGGATGGAGGGTGCTCTGTGCCCCGCAGTCCTGGTAGAGAGCCCACCATGTTGTTGTTAGCAGAAGAGCTGGCTGCCTGCATCCAGTACCTCTCCAGCAG